CAGTTTCCCAGCTGAAAGTAAAAATGTTTTGGCCAGTAGACGGGTCAGACTCACAACCTTAGCTTTATTAGAGCAACGCACTAACCGACTGAGCTAACCGACCCAAAAAATTCAAAGCTCTGTGTGGTGAAACTGGCAGGGCATGACAGCCAGTGGCGTGAAATAAAAACTGGCACTGCTCTGAGACATATGAATACTTGTGAATTAACACTGGCCTCTAATCTAAGCTTTTATTCAGTGTCCCAGCTAAAAGAAAAAATGCAGAGACCAGTACAGGGGTCGATCCGTGCACTTGGCGTTATTAGCACCACCGCGCTCTAACCGATTGAGCTGACAGGCTGGTATTTGTTCTAAGTTACATGCCCTAACTGCCTTGAGATTGAGCTGAAATTTCAGTTATCATTTGTTCTATCTTGCAGTAATCATCAAACACACTTTAGGTTCTACAGAAGGATCATAGCAAGGAAATAGTGGTCAGATGTAACCTTGAAACAGTCATACTGTGCATTGTCATTTCTAGGTATTATTTCATTGGAACAGTGGGAACAAGGTTTAGTGGGGTCCTTGGCTGTGTTCTTAGACCTGTCCACATTATTATCATAGTGCTACATTCGCAGAATTCACTTTGTGGCAGGCTCCTGTGATTTGATACGTCGTGGGGCGAAGGTCGATACAATGAACGAGTGAAAGTGTGCATGAGAACAGACAGTGCACAGTCTGAAAGGGTTAAATTTTATTTTTATTCAGTAATTGTGAATTAATCCTGGACTATGCTGCTCAGAGTTGAATTTATGTTATTTGTTTGAAAACCCAGCAAGACTTTCTGTTCTTCTTGTTTTGTATTTGATTGCAGTTTGATGGGTAGCAGTAGTGTATTTGCAAAATCAATTCACAGTTCACAATAGTGTATCTAAAGATGCTGTGGCCAGTACGGGGATTGAACCCGCGACCTTGGCGTTATTAGCACCATGCTCTAACCAACTGAGCTAACCGGCCGATAAAAGATGTGTGATTGTATGCTAAAACCTCGAGGGCATAACAGCCATTGGCACTGTTCTGAAACCTGTGACTACTTGTGTATTAAAACCGCCTTTTAACAAAAAAAGTTAAATTTACTTATTCATTTGGAAAACCATGGGGATTTTGAACTTCATGCCAGTCTTGTTCTTGTGAACTGATAGATCAGACCAAATCAAACTTACTGAAGGTTTTACTCTCAGTGTCCCAGGTGAAAGCCCTGGACTGTGCTATTGAGAGTTGAATTTTACGGCTTTATTTTGAGAACCACAAGGAATTTCTGCTTTGCACCAAGCTTCTTCTGCTCTGTTTTTGATTGTAGTTTGATCAGTTATGCAAGAATACCTCCACTTTGTATTCATTGTTTGCAATATGAATCTAAAGATACAATGGCCAGTACGGGGATCGGACCCGCGACCTTGGCGTTATTAGCACCACGCTCTAACCAACTGAGCTAACCGGCCCACAAGAATAATTATTTTGTGGAAAAACTGCAAGGCAAAACAGTGACTGGCATACATAAAGAACTCTCACTGTCCTGAAACCTGAGATGTGAATTTTGCTTTTTATATTTTTTTGAGAAGCATGAGGATTTTCAGCTTTGCACCATGCTTGTTCTGCTCTGTATTTGATTGCAGTTTGATGGGTAATGCAAGTATACTTCCCAGGTTATTTTCACCGTTTGCAATAGTGAATCTAAAGATACAATGGCCAGTCACGGGATCGGACCCGCGACCTTGGCGTTATTAGCACCACGCTCTAACCAACTGAGCTAACCGGCCAATGAAAAGAATTATTTTTGTGGAAAAAATGTGGGGCAAAACAGCCATTGTCTTGTATGCAAAAATTTCACTGTCCCAAACCCCTGTGACTGCTTGTCAATTAACACTGGCCTTTTGAAGTAAAAGTTGAATTTGCTTATTTATTTAGAAAACCATGAGGATTGTTAACTTTATACCAGTCTACTTCTGCTTTGTACTTGTTAAGTGATAGACCAGACCAAACCAAACATAGAGAAAGTTTCTTTCACAGTTTCCCAGCTGAAAGTAAAAATGTTTTGGCCAGTAGACGGTCAGACTCACAACCTTAGCTTTATTAGAGCAACGCACTAACCGACTGAGCTAACCGACCCAAAAAATTCAAAGCTCTGTGTGGTGAAACTGGCAGGGCATGACAGCCAGTGGCGTGAAATAAAAACTGGCACTGCTCTGAGACATATGAATACTTGTGAATTAACACTGGCCTCTAATCTAAGCTTTTATTCAGTGTCCCAGCTAAAAAGAAAAATGCAGAGACCAGTACAGGGGTCGCATCCGTGCACTTGGCGTTATTAGCACCGCGCTCTAACCGATTGAGCTGACAGGCTGGTATTTGTTCTAAGTTACATGCCCTAACTGCCTTGAGATTGAGCTGAAATTTCAGTTATCATTTGTTCTATCTTGCAGTAATCATCAAACACACTTTAGGTTCTACAGAAGGATCATAGCAAGGAAATAGTGGTCAGATGTAACCTTGAAACAGTCATACTGTGCATTGTCATTTCTAGGTATTATTTCATTGGAACAGTGGGAACAAGGTTTAGTGGGGTCCTTGGCTGTGTTCTTAGACCTGTCCACATTATTATCATAGTGCTACATTGCAGAATTCACTTTGTGGCAGGCTCCTGTGATTTGATACGTCGTGGGCGAAGGTCGATACAATGAACGAGTGAAAGTGTGCATGAGAACAGACAGTGCACAGTCTGAAAGGGTTAAATTTTATTTTTATTCAGTAATTGTGAATTAATCCTGGACTATGATGCTCAGAGTTAAATTTATGTTATTTATTTGAAAACCCAGCAAGACTTTCTGTTCTTCTTGTTTTGTATTTGATTGCAGTTTGATGGGTAGCAGTAGTGTATTTACGAAATCAGATTCACAGCTCACAATAGTGTATCTAAAGATGCTGTGGCCAGTACGGGGATCGAACCCGCGACCTTGGCGTTATTAGCACCACGCTCTAACCAACTGAGCTAACCGGCCGATAAAAGATGTGTGATTGTATGCTAAAACCTCGAGGGCATAACAGCCGTTGGCACTGTTCTGAAACCTGTGACTACTTGTGTATTAAAACCGGCCTTTTTAACAAAAAGTTAAATTTACTTATTCATTTGGAAAACCATGGGGATTTTGAACTTCATGCCAGTCTTGTTCTTGTGAACTGATAGATCAGACCAAATCAAACTTACTGAAGGTTTTACTCTCAGTGTCCCAGGTGAAAGCCCTGGACTGTGCTATTGAGAGTTGAATTTTACGGCTTTATTTTGAGAACCACAAGGAATTTCTGCTTTGCACCAAGCTTCTTCTGCTCTGTTTTTGATTGTAGTTTGATCAGTTATGCAAGAATACCTCCCACTTTGTATTCATTGTTTGCAATATGAATCTAAAGATACAATGGCCAGTACGGGATCGGACCCGCGACCTTGGCGTTATTAGCACCACGCCTAACCAACTGAGCTAACCGCCCACAAGAATAATTATTTTATGGAAAAACTGCAAGGCAAAACAGTGACTGGCATACATAAAGAACTCTCACTGTCCTGAAACCTGAGATGTGAATTTTGCTTTTTATATTGAGAAGCATGAGGATTTTCAGCTTTGCACCATGCTTGTTCTGCTCTGTATTTGATTGCAGTTTGATGGGTAATGCAAGTATACTTCCCAGGTTATTTTCACCGTTTGCAATAGTGAATCTAAAGATACAATGGCCAGTACGGGGATCGGACCCGCGACCTTGGCGTTATTAGCACCACGCTCTAACCAACTGAGCTAACCGGCCAATGAAAAGAATTATTTTTGTGGAAAAAATGTGGGGCAAAACAGCCATTGAAAAAAAAAAAAAAATTTCACTGTCCCAAACCCTGTGACTGCTTGTCAATTAACACTGGCCTTTTGAAGTAAAAGTTGAATTTGCTTATTTATTTAGAAAACCATGAGGATTGTTAACTTTATACCAGTCTACTTCTGCTTTGTACTTGTTAAGTGATAGACCAGACCAAACCAAACATAGAGAAAGTTTCTTTCACAGTTTCCCAGCTGAAAGTAAAAATGTTTTTGGCCAGTAGACGGGTCAGACTCACAACCTTAGCTTTATTAGAGCAATGCACTAACCGACTGAGCTAACCGACCCAAAAAATTCAAAGCTCTGTGTGGTGAAACTGGCAGGGCATGACAGCCAGTGGCGTGAAATAAAAACTGGCACTGCTCTGAGACATATGAATACTTGTGAATTAACACTGGCCTCTAATCTAAGCTTTTATTCAGTGTCCCAGCTAAAAAAAAAACGCAGAGACCAGTACAGGGTCGCATCCGTGCACTTGGCGTTATTAGCACCGCGCTCTAACCGATTGAGCTGACAGGCTGGTATTTGTTCTAAGTTACATGCCCTAACTGCCTTGAGATTGAGCTGAAATTTCAGTTATTATTTGTTCTATCTTGCAGTAATCATCAAACACACTTTAGGTTCTACAGAAGGATCATAGCAAGGAAATAGTGGTCAGATGTAACCTTGAAACAGTCATACTGTGCATTGTCATTTCTAGGTATTATTTCATTGGAACAGTGGGAACAAGGTTTAGTGGGGTCCTTGGCTGTGTTCTTAGACCTGTCCACATTATTATCATAGTGCTACATTCGCAGAATTCACTTTTGTGGCAGGCTCCTGTGATTTGATACGTCGTGGGCGAAGGTCGATACAATGAACGAGTGAAAGTGTGCATGAGAACAGACAGTGCACAGTCTGAAAGGGTTAAATTTTATTTTTATTCAGTAATTGTGAATTAATCCTGGACTATGATGCTCAGAGTTAAATTTATGTTATTTATTTGAAAACCCAGCAAGACTTTCTGTTCTTCTTGTTTTGTATTTGATTGCAGTTTGATGGGTAGCAGTAGTGTATTTGCGAAATCAGATTCACAGTTCACAATAGTGTATCTAAAGATGCTGTGGCCAGTACGGGATCGAACCCGTGTCCTTAAGCGTTATTAGCACCACGCTCTAACCAACTGAGCTAACCGGCCGATAAAAGATGTCTGATTGTATGCTAAAACCTCGAGGGCATAACAGCCGTTGGCACTGTTCTGAAACCTGTGACTACTTGTGTATTAAAACCGGCCTTTTTAACAAAAAGTTAAATTTACTTATTCATTTGGAAAACCATGGGGATTTTGAACTTCATGCCAGTCTTGTTCTTGTGAACTGATAGATCAGACCAAATCAAACTTACTGAAGGTTTTACTCTCAGTGTCCCAGGTGAAAGCCCTGGACTGTGCTATTGAGAGTTGAATTTTTCGGCTTTATTTTGAGAACCACAAGGAATTTCTGCTTTGCACCAAGCTTCTTCTGCTCTGTTTTTGATTGTAGTTTGATCATTTATGCAAGAATACCTCCCACTTTGTATTCATTGTTTGCAATATGAATCTAAAGATACAATGGCCAGTACGGGGATCGGACCCGCGACCTTGGCGTTATTAGCACCACGCTCTAACCAACTGAGCTAACCGGCCCACAAGAATAATTATTTTGCGGAAAAACTGCAAGGCAAAACAGTGACTGGCATACATAAAGAACTCTCACTGTCCTGAAACCTGAGATGTGAATTTTGCTTTTTTATATTGAGAAGCATGAGGATTTTCAGCTTTGCACCATGCTTGTTCTGCTCTGTATTTGATTGCAGTTTGATGGGTAATGCAAGTATACTTCCCAGGTTATTTTCACCGTTTGCAATAGTGAATCTAAAGATACAATGGCCAGTACGGGATCGGACCCATGACCTTGGCGTTATTAGCACCACGCTCTAACCAACTGAGCTAACAGGCCAATGAAAAGAATTATTTTTGTGGAAAAAATGTGGGCAAAACAGCCATTGTCTTGTATGCAAAATTTCACTGTCCCAAACCCTGTGACTGCTTGTCAATTAACACTGGCCTTTTGAAGTAAAAGTTGAATTTGCTTATTTATTTAGAAAACCATGAGGATTGTTAACTTTATACCAGTCTACTTCTGCTTTTGTACTTGTTAAGTGATAGACCAGACCAAACCAAACATAGAGAAAGTTTCTTTCACAGTTTCCCAGCTGAAAGTAAAAATGTTTTGGCCAGTAGACGGGTCAGACTCACAACCTTAGCTTTATTAGAGCAATGCACTAACCGACTGAGCTAACCGACCCAAAAAATTCAAAGCTCTGTGTGGTGAAACTGGCAGGGCATGACAGCCAGTGGCGTGAAATAAAAACTGGCACTGCTCTGAGACATATGAATACTTGTGAATTAACACTGGCCTCTAATCTAAGCTTTTATTCAGTGTCCCAGCTAAAAGAAAAAACGCAGAGACCAGTACAGGGGTCGCATCCGTGCACTTGGCGTTATTAGCACCGCGCTCTAACCGATTGAGCTGACAGGCTGGTATTTGTTCTAAGTTACATGCCCTAACTGCCTTGAGATTGAGCTGAAATTTCAGTTATTATTTGTTCTATCTTGCAGTAATCATCAAACACACTTTAGGTTCTACAGAAGGATCATAGCAAGGAAATAGTGGTCAGATGTAACCTTGAAACAGTCATACTGTGCATTGTCATTTCTAGGTATTATTTCATTGGAACAGTGGGAACAAGGTTTAGTGGGGTCCTTGGCTGTGTTCTTAGACCTGTCCACATTATTATCATAGTGCTACATTCGCAGAATTCACTTTGTGGCAGGCTCCTGTGATTTGATACGTCGTGGGCGAAAGTCGATACAATGAACGCGAGTGAAAGTGTGCATGAGAACAGACAGTCTGAAAGGGTTAAATTTTATTTTTATTCAGTAATTGTGAATTAATCCTGGAATGGCTCAGAGTTTTATTTTGTTATTTATTTGAAAACCCAGCAAGACTTTCTGTTCTTCTTGTTTTGTATTTGATTGCAGTTTGATGGGTAGCAGTAGTGTATTTACGAAATCAGATTCACAGTTAGTTATCTAAAGATGCTTGAAAACCCAGGAAGAACCTTTCTTGGCATTCTTATTTTGTAACCAACTGAGCTAACAGTTTGAAAAGTGTGTGATTGTATGTAAAACCTCGAGGGCATAAGATTGGCACTGTTCTGAAACCTGTGACTATTGTGTATCTAAAATCGATTTTTAACAAAAAAAAGTTAAATTTACTTATTCATTTGGAAAACCATGGGGATTTGAACTTCATGCCAGTCTTGTTCTTGTGAACTGATAGATCAGACCAAATCAAACTTACTGAAGGTTTTACTCTCAGTGTCCCAGGTGTCCCTGATTGCTATTGAGAGTTGAAACCTTTATTTTAAGAACCACAAGGAATTTCTGTTTTGAAACCTTCTGCTCTGTTTTTGATTGTAGTTTGATCATTTAAAGAATACCCTTTTTATTCATTGTTTGCAATATGAATCTAAAGATTTATGGCTTATTCCCGGAAAACCATGGGGATTTATTTTGAACTTCATGCCAACTCTTGTTCTTGTAACTGATAGACAAGAATAAATTAAACTTGTGAAGGTTTTAAACTCAAGGCAAAAAACAGTGACTGGCCCTGGACTGTGCTATCACTGTCCTGAAACCTGAGATGTGAATTTTGCTTTTTTATATTGAGAACCACAAGGATTTTCTGCTTTGCACCATGCTTGTTCTGCTCTGTTTTTGATTGCAGTTTGATCATTTATGCAAGAATACCTCCCAGGTTATTATTCATTGTTTGCAATATGAATCTAAAGATACAATGGCCAGTCTGGGATCGGACCCGCGACCTTGGCGTTATTAGCACCACGCTCTAACCAACTGAGCTAACAGGCCAATGAAAATAATTATTTTTTGGAAAAAATGCAAGGCAAAACAGCCATTGTCTTACATGCAAAAAATTTCACTGTCCCAAACCCTGTGACTGCTTGTCAATTAACACTGGCCTTTTTTTGAAGTAAAAGTTGAATTTGCTTATTTATTTAGAAAACCATGAGGATTGTTAACTTTATACCAGTCTACTTCTGCTTTGTATTTGTTAAGTTTAGACCAGACCAAACCAAACATAGAGAAAGTTTCCCACAGTTAGTGAATAGAAAATCTAAAAATGTTTTGGCCAGTAGACGGGTCAGACTCACAACCTTAGCTTTATTAGAGCAACGCTCTAACCGATTGAGCTAACCGACCCAAAAAATTCAAAGCTCTGTGTGGTGAAACTGGCAGGGCATACAGCCAGTGAACGAAATAAAAACTGGCATCTCTGAGACATATGAATACTTGCCCAATTAACAAAGGCCTAAAATTTATTTTATTCAGTGTCCCAGCTAAAAAAAAAATGGACTATGCTCCGTGCTCAGAGTTTAGCATTTATGTTAACCCGTTTGAGCTGACAGGCTGGTATTTGTTCTAGTTACATGCCCTAACTGCCTTGAGATTGAGCTTGCTTTTCAGTTATCATTTGTTCTATCTTGCAGTAATCATCAAACACACTTTAGGTTCTACAGAAGGATCATATCAAGGAAATAGTGGTCAGATGTAACCTTGAAACAGTCATACTGTGCATTGTCATTTCTAGGTATTATTTCATTGGAACAGTGGGAACAAGGTTTAGTGGGGTCCTTGGCTGTGTTCTTAGACCTGTCCACATTATTATCATAGTGCTTTATTGAAAAATTCACTTTGGCAAAACCTGTGATTTGATACATTCATTACAAAACAGTGAAAGTGTCCCAGAAACAGTCTGAAAGGGTTAAATTTTATTTTTATTCATAATTGTGAATTAATCCTGGACTATGATGCTCAGAGTTAAATTTATGGTTTGAAAACCCAGCAAGACTTTCTGTTCTTCTTGTTTTGTATTTGATTGCAGTTTGATGGGTAGCAGTAGTGTATTTCTTAAATTATATTCACAGCTCACAATAGTGTATCTAAAGATGCAGTGCTCAGCGGGGATGAACCCGCGACCTTGGCGTTATTAGCACCACGCTCTAACCAACTGAGCTAACCGTCCATAAAAAGGTGCTATGATTGTATGCAAAAACTATGAGGGCATAACAGCCATTGGCACTGTTCTGAAACCTGTGACTGCTTGTTTATTAAAATTGGCCTTTTAACAAAAAAAAATTAAATTTACTTATTCATTTGGAAAACCATGGGGATTTTTCAACTTCATACCAGTCTTGTTCTTTTGAAGTGATAGATCAGACCAAATCAAAGTTACTGAAGGTTTTACTCTCAGTGTCCCAGGTGAAAGCCCTAGACTGTGCTATTGAGAGGTGAATTTTACGGCTTTATTTTGAGAACCACAAGGAATTTCTGCTTTGCACCAAGCTTCTTCTGCTCTGTTTTTGATTGTAGTTTGATCAGTTATGCAAGAATACCTCCCACTTTGTATTCATTGTTTGCAATATGAATCTAAAGATACAATGGCCAGTGCGGGGATCGGACCCGCGACCTTGGCGTTATTAGCACCACGCTCTAACCAACTGAGGTAACCGGCCCACAAGAATAATTATTTTGCGGAAAAACTGCAAGGCAAAGCAGTGACTGGCATACATAAAGAACTCTCACTGTCCTGAAACCTGAGATGTGAATTTTGCTTTTTTATATTGAGAAGCATGAGGATTTTCAGCTTTGCACCATGCTTGTTCTGCTCTGTATTTGATTGCAGTTTGATGAGTAATGCAAGTATACTTCCCAGGTTATTTTCACCGTTTGCAATAGCGAATCTAAAGATACAATGGCCAGTACGGGGATCGGACCCGCGACCTTGGCGTTATTAGCACCACGCTCTAACCAACTGAGCTAACAGGCCAATGAAAAGAATTATTTTTGTGGAAAAAATGTGGGGCAAAACAGCCATTGTCTTGTATGCAAAAATTTCACTGTCCCAAACCCTGTGACTGCTTGTCAATTAACACTGGCCTTTTGAAGTAAAAGTTGAATTTGCTTATTTATTTAGAAAACCATGAGGATTGTTAACTTTATACCAGTCTACTTCTGCTTTGTACTTGTTAAGTGATAGACCAGACCAAACCAAACATAGAGAAAGTTTCTTTCACAGTTTCCCAGCTGAAAGTAAAAATGTTTTGGCCAGTAGACGGGTCAGACTCACAACCTTAGCTTTATTAGAGCAACGCACTAACCGACTGAGCTAACCGACCCAAAAATTCAAAGCTCTGTGTGGTGAAACTGGCAGGGCATGACAGCCAGTGGCGTGAAATAAAAACTGGCACTGCTCTGAGACATATGAATACTTGTGAATTAACACTGGCCTCTAATCTAAGCTTTTATTCAGTGTCCCAGCTAAAAGAAAAATGCAGAGACCAGTACAGGGGTCGCATCCGTGCACTTGGCGTTATTAGCACCGCTCTCTAACCCCATTGAGCTGACAGGCTGGTATTTGTTCTAAGTTACATGCCCTAACTGCCTTGAGATTGAGCTGAAATTTCAGTAATTATTTGTTCTATCTTGCAGTAATCATCAAACACACTTTAGGTTCTACAGAAGGATCATAGCAAGTAAATAGTGGTCAGATGTAACCTTGAAACAGTCATACTGTGCATTGTCATTTCTAGGTATTATTTCATTGGAACAGTGGGAACAAGGTTTAGTGGGGTCCTTGGCTGTGTTCTTAGGCCTGTCCACATTATTATCATAGTGCTACATTCGCAGAATTCACTTTGTGGCAGGCTCCTGTGATTTGATACGTCGTGGGCGAAGGTCGATACAATGAACGAGTGAAAGTGTGCATGAGAACAGACAGTGCACAGTCTGAAAGGGTTAAATTTTATTTTTATTCAGTAATTGTGAATTAATCCTGGACTATGCTGCTCAGAGTTGAATTTATGTTATTTGTTTGAAAACCCAGCAAGACTTTCTGTTCTTCTTGTTTTGTATTTGATTGCAGTTTGATGGGTAGCAGTAGTTTATTTGCGAAATCAGATTCACAGTTCACAATAGTGTATCTAAAGATGCTGTGGCCAGTACGGGGATCGAACCCGCAACCTTGGCGTCATTAGCACCACGCTCTAACCAACTGAGCTAACCGGCCGATAAGCAATGTTGGATTGTATGCAAAAACCTCGAGGGCATAACAGCCATTGGCACTGTTCTGAAACCTGTGACTACTTGTGTATTAAAACCGGCCTTTTTAACAAAAAGTTAAATTTACTTATTCTTTTGGAAAACCATGGGGATTTTGAACTTCATGCCAGTCTTGTTCTTGTGAACTGATAGATCAGACCAAATCAAACTTACTGAAGGTTTTACTCTCAGTGTCCCAGGTGAAAGCCCTAGACTGTGCTATTGAGAGTTGAATTTTACGGCTTTATTTTGAGAACCACAAGGAATTTCTGCTTTCCACCCAACTTCTTCTGCTCTGTTTTTGATTGTAGTTTGATCATTTATGCAAGAATACCTCCCACTTTGTATTCATTGTTTGCAATATGAATCTAAAGATACAATGGCCAGTGCGGGGATCGGACCCGCGACCTTGGCGTTATTAGCACCACGCTCTAACCAACTGAGCTAACCGGCCCACAAGAATAATTATTTTGCGGAAAAACTGCAAGGCAAAGCAGTGACTGGCATACATAAAGAACTCTCACTGTCCTGAAACCTGAGATGTGAATTTTGCTTTTTTATATTGAGAAGCATGAGGATTTTCAGCTTTGCACCATGCTTGTTCTGCTCTGTATTTGATTGCAGTTTGATGGGTAATGCAAGTATACTTCCCAGGTTATTTTCACCGTTTGCAATAGTGAATCTAAAGATACAATGGCCAGTACGGGGATCGGACCCGCGACCTTGGCGTTATTAGCACCACGCTCTAACCAACTGAGCTAACCGGCCAATGAAAAGAATTATTTTTGTGGAAAAAAAAAACAGCCATTGTCTTGTATGCAAAAATTTCACTGTCCCAAACCCTGTGACTGCTTGTCAATTAACACTGGCCTTTTGAAGTAAAAGTTGAATTTGCTTATTTATTTAGAAAACCATGAGGATTGTTAACTTTATACCAGTCTACTTCTGCTTTGTACTTGTTAAGTGATAGACCAGACCAAACCAAACATAGAGAAAGTTTCTTTCACAGTTTCCCAGCTGAAAGTAAAAATGTTTTGGCCAGTAGACGGGTCAGACTCACAACCTTAGCTTTATTAGAGCAATGCACTAACCGACTGAGCTAACCGACCCAAAAAAATTCAAAGCTCTGTGTGGTGAAACTGGCAGGGCATGACAGCCAGTGGCGTGAAATAAAAACTGGCACTGCTCTGAGACATATGAATACTTGTGAATTAACACTGGCCTCTAATCTAAGCTTTTATTCAGTGTCCCAGCTAAAAGAAAAAACGCAGAGACCAGTACAGGGTCGCATCCGTGCACTTGGCGTTATTAGCACCAAAGGCTCTAACCGATTGAGCTGACAGGCTGGTATTTGTTCTAAGTTACATGCCCTAACTGCCTTGAGATTGAGCTGAAATTTCAGTAATTATTTGTTCTATCTTGCAGTAATCATCAAACACACTTTAGGTTCTACAGAAGGATCATAGCAAGGAAATAGTGGTCAGATGTAACCTTGAAACAGTCATACTGTGCATTGTCATTTCTAGGTATTATTTCATTGGAACAGTGGGAACAAGGTTTAGTGGGGTCCTTGGCTGTGTTCTTAGACCTGTCCACATTATTATCATAGTGCTACATTCGCAGAATTCACTTTGTGGCAGGCTCCTGTGATTTGATACGTCGTGGGCGAAAGTCGATACAATGAACGAGTGAAAGTGTGCATGAGAACAGACAGTGCACAGTCTGAAAGGGTTAAATTTTATTTTTATTCAGTAATTGTGAATTAATCCTGGACTATGCTGCTCAGAGTTGAATTTATGTTATTTGTTTGAAAACCCAGCAAGACTTTCTGTTCTTCTTATTTTGTATTTGATTGCAGTTTGATGGGTAGCAGTTGTGTATTTGCGAAATCAGATTCACAGTTCACAATAGTGTATCTAAAGATGCTGTGGCCAGTACGGGGATCGAACCCGTGTCCTTAGCGTTATTAGCACAGCGCTCTAACCAGCTGAGCTAACCGGCCGATAAAAGATGTCTGATTGTATGCTAAAACCTCGAGGGCATAACAGCCGTTGGCACTGTTCTGAAACCTGTGACTACTTGTGTATTAAAACCGGCCTTTTTAACAAAAAGTTAAATTTACTTATTCTTTTGGAAAACCATGGGGATTTTGAACTTCATGCCAGTCTTGTTCTTGTGAACTGATAGATCAGACCAAATCAAACTTACTGAAGGTTTTACTCTCAGTGTCCCAGGTGAAAGCCCTGGACTGTGCTATTGAGAGTTGAATTTTTCGGCTTTATTTTGAGAACCACAAGGAATTTCTGCTTTGCACCAAGCTTCTTCTGCTCTGTTTTTGATTGTAGTTTGATCATTTATGCAAGAATACCTCCCACTTTGTATTCATTGTTTGCAATATGAATCTAAAGATACAATGGCCAGATCACGGGATCGGACCCGCGACCTTGGCGTTATTAGCACCACGCTCTAACCAACTGAGCTAACCGGCCCACAAGAATAATTATTTTGCGGAAAAACTGCAAGGCAAAACAGTGACTGGCATACATAAAGAAGTCTCACTGTCCTGAAACCTGAGATGTGAATTTTGCTTTTTTATTTTGAGAAGCACGAGGATTTTCAGCTTTGCACCATGCTTGTTCTGCTCTGTATTTGATTGCAGTTTGATGGGTAATGCAAGTATACTTCCCAGGTTAGTGAATAGATAGTGAATCTAAAGATACAATGGCCAGTACGGGGATCGGACCCGCGACCTTGGCGTTATTAGCACCACGCTCTAACCGATTGAGCTAACCGGCCGATTAAAGACGTAAAAGTCGATATAATGAACGAGTGAAACTGTGAATCAGAATAGAAAGTGCCCAGTATGAAAGGGTTAAATTTTATTTTTATTCAGTAATTGTGAATTAATCCTGGACTATGCTGCTCAGAGTTGAATTTATGTTATTTGTTTGAAAACTCAGCAAGACTTTCAGTTTTTCTTGGCTTGGTTTTGATTGCTTTTTTAATGGGTAGCACTTTTCGTGTGTTTGTGAAATCAGATTCAGTTTACAATAGTGTATCTAAAGATGCAGTCGCCATTACGGGGAGCGAACCCGTAACTTTGGCGTTATTTGCGCAACACTCTAACCAAGTGCACAAACCGGCCCACAAAAGAATTATTTTATTGAAAAATGCCTGGGCAAAACAGTCACTTGCATTCATTAAAAAAACTCTCACTGTCCCAAAACTTGAGATGTGAATTTGCTCTTTTATATTGAGAAGCACAAGGATTTTTAGGTTTGCACCATTTTAGTTCTTCTTTGTATTTCGTTGTAGTTTGATGGGTAATGCAAGTATACTTCTTAGGTTATATTCACCTTCTGCAGTAGTGAATCTAAGGATGCAGTGCTCAGGACGGGGAATGAACCCGCGATTTTGGCGCTATTAGCGTCACGCTCTAACCAACTGAGCTAACCGGTCCATAGAAGGTGCTATGTTTGTATGCAAAAACTATGAGGGTGTAACAGCCATTGGCACTGTTCTGATACTTGTGACTGCTTGTTTATTAAAATTGGCCTTTTTACTAAAAAATTAAATTTACTGATTCATTTGGAAAACCATGGGGATTTTTCAACTTCATACCAGTCTTGTTCTTTTGAAGTGATAGATCAGACCAAATCAAAGTTACTGAAGGTTTTACTCTCAGTGTCCCAGGTGAAAGCACTGGACTGTGCCATTTAGAGTTGAATTTGCGTCTTTATTTTGAGAACCACAAGGATTTTCAGCTTTTCACCAAGCTTGTTCTGTATTTGATTGTAGTTTGATGGGTAATGCAAGTATACCTCCCAGGTTATATTCACAGTTTACAATAGTGAATCTAAAGATACAATGGCCAGTACTGGGATCGGACCTGCGTCCTTGGCGTTATTAGCGCTACGCTCTAACCGACTTTGCTAACCGACCCAAAAAATTCAAAGCTCTGTGTGGTGAAACTGGCAGTGCATGACAGCCAGTGGCGTGATTGAAAATAACCGGCACTGCTCTGAGATCTATGGATACTTGTGAATTAAGTCTGAAGAAAAAGGAGGTAGGTTTAGGAAAGTGGGTGGTTAAAAGGAGTGTTTATGTATTTATTCATTTATTTATTGGATCATGTCAATTGATATCCAGTGGGAAAATGTACTCAGTAGGTGGCGGTATATGCAAGAATACTCAAATAATAACACAAAATAAAAGGAGACGGAGCTGAGGACAAAGTTTAGTGAGCTAATCTTCGTGAGTACAGAGTAGCAGGGGCGGAGAACATAGACTCTATAAAAAGATGGACGAAGCTACCGTGACGTCACCTATTGGTTTCAGCATACCATAAAGGAAGCCTCGATTTTGGCAATTTGAATTGCGCCATGTCGTCATTTTGAAACCGGATGTGATTTCTATTGGACGAGAGCGTGTATTAAAGATTCGGGGAGGACCGTGGCTCAGGATCTGACCGTATCGGACGAGGACCAGAGTATAGCCACGCCCCTAAAGCATATTTTGACTTTATCCTTTATTCTAGTCTATATGGGACCATAATTTACAAAAATGAACATCATGATATTTCGAAGGAGACTTGAAACTTGCTATAGCTACCATAAAATAATGTGAAAATTCATTATTTACATGAAAAATCAGGTGGGAAAGTAGGGTCATTTTCTCTTAGACTTCTATAGCATTGAACTTCTTTCTGCAACCACCGACGTCGCCATCTGCTGGCCATTAAATAGAATGCCATTTTACGGTACTTCCGCATGGACTTCGTTTTCCAGACCAGGGTGCTGCGTCCATCTTTTTATACAGTTTATGGCGGAGAAGGGGTTTTGCTTTCTAACCAGGAGATTTGAAAAAATGGAGTGCGACGTGGCAGAAAGTTCAAAAAAGAAAGGAAAAGGGGAAGTGGGAATGCAAGCGGGGAAGAAAAATAAGTGATAGGAATGAAGGCTGCGGTAATAGGCTGTGCTGCGAATGGTCTTTTTAGTGATTTGCACGAAGTAGGAAGATTCATAAAAAGTGAAATTGGAGACGTAAAGGCAATGAGAGTAACACGGGGTGGAACGGTAGTAGTGGAATGTAAAAATAAGAGACAATATGACAAGTTATTGAAAATTACGATGTTTGATTTGACAAGTGTGGTTTGTTTTCCAATGAGAAGAAACACAAACATTTAGGGGGTTTATAAGCAGAGTGCTGCTATCTGTTGAGGCCAGTGCTTTTTGAATGTGGAGGGATTGTGTGAGGTAAGGAGGCTGAAAACTAGAAGGGAAGGAGTGGAGAAGGAAAGCCTATCTGTTCTATTGGAATTTAAAACCGAGTTACCAGAGAGAGTATTTTTAGACTACCGGTATGTTAGCTGTCGAGTTCGGGAACACATAAGGGCACCACTTAGCTGCTACTGGCGTCACGAGTATGGGCATGTGGCTGCAGTATGCAGGAATAGGATACACAGATGCAGAGGATGTGGGAAAGAGGGATGTATGGAGGTTGAGTGTACTATCAAGGAACAGATCGTGTGTTTTCACTGTGGGGGAAACCATGAAGTCGGAGCATTGGAGTGTAAAAGAAGGGAAAAGAAACAGGAGGTGGAAAGAATAAGAACTCAGGGGAGAATATCATATGCAGAGGCAATTAAGAGGGTGCAGGCGGGGAAAGAGCAGGATAAGGTTCAGGAAATTGGAAAATCAGATGAAAATTTTATTTGAATGGAAAGAAGACATTTTTTGGCTTTCATTGCAATGGTGGTGATTTGTTCTAGAGACCTTGAAAGTAAAACAGAGAATTAAAATGGTGATTGATGCAGCGCGGGAATTTTTAGGAATAATGGATGTTAAAGGGGAAGAAATTCAAAGGATTTTGGAGAGTGGGTTTGGCGGGGGTCAGGTGACAGAAAAGTAAAGTTTAGGAAAGGGGATTTCAGAATGGGGGTAGGATAGGTTTTTTTTCTCTCTCTCTCTTGAATTTTCTTGATACGTCTGAGTTAATTTTATATCTGCGGAGGGCAGTAATACGCCTAGTAGCGTCTATGTTTCCGCAAATCTCTGAAGAAGAAGAAGCTCCCACCCTGTTCATTCAGGCGTTCATTCAGACAGTGGAGAGAAAATGGTCCCTCCCGTGCAGGTATCGCCGCTTATTAAGGTACGTATGACTCAGTGTTTTCTCAATACATTCTTCCACTCACGATGTTTTGTATCTTTTATTATTTAGTAATCAATAATTTGTAAATATGTTGTTCAGTGGTGCTGTAGCATCATGCGCCACTGACTTTGGATGAGTAGGCGCTAGCACTACTAGCGTTAGCAAGATAGCGAGGATAGCGGTAAGTTAGCTAATTTTGTTCCCCAGCTTGTCCGAGGCTCCTGAGTTTGACCGCTGTAGCTTGCGGGTTAGTACTTGCCAGAATCTGATCATTGCTGTTGGCTCAATGTCGTGGGTTAAGCAAGTCCTTTGCAACTGTGTGTGGATGTCTTGCTCATGCTGCAGAATTTTAGCTCGCTAGCTTTCCAAGTTAGCAATCGAACCAAGCGAAGGTCATCGCTGCAGACTCGCAAACCTCGCCGGCGCACTAACGTTAAGGTGCTTTCACACTGGACGCGAAACGAATTTTTCGCACGACGTACTACATTAAAAGTCAATGCAAAGACGTGAATACACGCGTTTTCGCGTGCATTCGCGTCTTTGCATTGACTTTGAATGGAATCTGTCCTGCGGAAAATTCGTTTCGCGTCCAGTGTGAAAGCGGTTTTATACCGTTAGAATAGTAGACATGGGTACAGTAGTATAGTAATGTGAGCAATGCCTGTGACCGGTGCCAGTTTTAACCCGTGACGATCAGATGTTTTCGAGGGTACCTCCCCCCCCCCAAAAAAAATGCTGCGTTCTACACCTTAAATGCCTTCAATTCCTAGCTGTGTTTCTTACATTAGCTGTAGGATATTCAGCACATTTCGGTTGCATCTGATTTTACATCTTGCGTAGTTTGAGTCAACTGATAGTCCCTCTTCTTTTTTCACCTCACTAATCCCTGTGCAGCCCCAACTCCTCATTCACTTAATAAACCCCCTGTTTATCAGATGTGTTGTCTTTTAACAGACTGCCAGATGGTCTGCCTTGCTTGTCGGTTTAATCTACGGAAAAAAGAGATACGGTAAGTTATAGCCTATATGGGAATCATCAGTATATAACACCTTTTAGGCTGTGTAGCAGACTTGCGATGTTGGTGTATATCAATGAAATTCATGCATTTCGCGGCGTTGATCACGCTTGTTAATTAACACTGTCGATTTTGTGCAGCTTGCATATCGTGGGTTTGGAGCGCAATGGTTATATGTCCATTTTAGAGGTTCTGAGAAAAATTGATTTTTAGGTTTGCAAATATTCTATTAAATCAGTTACATCGTTTACATCATTTTTATGTCAGTCACTCTTTTACTGCATGGTTCAGAAGTATACTGAACATTTAAGTCTTCATAAATGTGGTACCGCGACATCATGGCCAAAATTGCCAAAATGGACATGTCACCTCCGTTCTCCAACAGTTAATTAGCACTTGATGTGACATAACACAGTGGTGCTAGATTGAAGTTAAGCTTGTTTGCAATTGAAGACAGATGATTCTGTAATGTTATTCATGTTTATTCATCAAAATATCATTGTTATATAAGCAGATTTTGTTGGACATACCACAAAATGAAAATGTGAATTTTGTTTAAAACTGAGGTGCATAGACATATAATTATTTAGCTGCAAGAATTAGTTGATAGAAATGTATGACAGGTGGTAAAAATCTCAAAATCACAAAATTTGAACACGTCACCATTGTGCTCCAAACTCTCGATATGTTGATGAGAGCTCAGTTCAAACCCTTGTGTCATTAATGATCATCACTTTGATGTATTTCAGACCTCAGTACTTACCTATTGTGCTTTCCAACCACCTGGGTCTGTTCCGCAAAACAGGATTGCAGAGTTGGCCTGATAAGTGATCCAAGTAAAACCCAGAACAGCTCTTATTACTTAAGTCAGTGTTCTAGATTTGAGTTTTCCAGGTTTTACTTGGTGCAATGATCCAGCAAACTGAGTACTTCTGATTTGTGGAACTGGCCGCTGGTGCTGGTGTTTTAAACGTGGTTGACGTTAAGCTGAGGTTTGTTTACATGTTCCGCTGCCCTTATTGTCCATTGTCCCTTTGGGAAAGCAGTGTGTCAGAGGACTAACCTTAAAGCTGAGATTAGTTGGTAGTGCAGGAGAATGTCCGGAGGTCATGCCATCGATTGTGTATCTCCCACCCTCTTTCTTCTTTTTACTGCAGTTTGAGAAGGTTTTAGCTGTATTTAATTGATTTGATAAAGTTGCGTATACTGTTTTGTTTCCCCCTCCAGACCACTTGAAACCCATAGCTGAGGAGGAGAGGAGGGTGGAGGCCGAGGAGAAGAGGCTCAGAGAAGAGCAGGAGCGCATCGCCAAGCAGCTGGCGGAAGGTAACTCTGAGCTGCACACGAACAGCCTCGGCATTCAGAACAGCCTCAGTCTTACTGATGCTCCAGGCCAGCTGCCTGTATGCTGATACGTGAGCAGTAGTTATATCAGTTACCACCAGTACTTTATTCAAATTATAAATGCCTTCAGCCTGTGAAATGAAAAAAATGGAAAGGAATATTATTTCAAACCTGGCCTGCAGTTTAAGTTGAGGAATCGAGAAATATCATGGTGAAGCATGTTAAATTGTTTTTGTGTTGAGAATGAACTGTATTTCACAAAAAAATTGTATTGTTTTGTTTTCCTCTTTCCATCCTATACAGCCAATGAAGACACCATTCTGAAGTAAATGTACCGGAGTTTAATTTGTTTATATAAATAAAGATGTAAAAATGAGCTCTTTGTCTCTGTGTATAAATTTTTTGGGTCGTGGCTCTTAGGCACTGAAGGTGC